AGCTGCTGATCAGTTTTAAGTGTTTTCTATCTATTAGGAGACTGACTTTCCCTGGCACCAGCTTTGACCAATTATTACCTTAGAGAAACTGTTAACAATAGCCTGACCGTCAGCCAAAGGTCACCCAACACTCCTGGTGTGCATGTGTTGGGGAGCCCTCTCCTGCCCTGCTCATACTTGACTACTTACCTACTGTAACATCATTATTGTATCTTTCACTTGTACCGTTACCATTTCGTTTGGCTTTTTTATTTTATTATTTTTTTTAGGCAGGGTCTCTGTCACCCAGGCTGGAGTGTAGTGGTGCAATCACAGCTCACTGTAGCCTCAATCTACTCAGCTCAAATGATCCTCCCCAACAGCTTCCCAAGTAGCTAGGACCACAGGCTCACACCAACATGACCAGCTAATTTTTGTATTTTCTGTAGAGAAGGGGTGTTTTACCATGTTGCTCAGACTGGTCTCAAACTCCTGGACTAAAGTAATCTGCCTGCCTCAGACTCCAGAAGTGCTGGGACCATGCCTCACTTCCATTTTTTTTTTTTTTTAATGGAGTCTCACTCTGTCACCCAGGCTGGAGTGCAGTGGCACAATCTCGGCTCACTGCAACCTCTGCCTCCTGGATTCAAGCAAATCTCGTCTCAGCCTCTTGAGCAACTGGGACTACAGGCACACACCACCAGGCCTGGCTAATTTTTCTATTTTTAGTGGAGACAGTGTTTCACCATATTGATCAGGCTGGTCTCTAACTCCTGACCTCAGGTGATCCACTCACCTTGGCCTCCCAAAGTGCTGGGATTACAGGTGTGAGTCACTGCACTCAGCCTCATTTGGTTCTTTTAAAAATAACTTTTATTTCTTTGCTGAAATTTTCAATTTTTTTCATTTGTTTCAAATGATTATTTATTCCTTCTTGAATCCTTTTTATGACAGCGGTTTTAAAATCCTAGTCAGGTAATTCCGACACCTGATTTATCTCAGTGCTGATGTCACTCAATTGTCTTTTTTAATTCAAATTGTGAGTTTTCTATTACATCCTGGACATTTTGTCTATTATGTTAGGAGACTCTAACTTTAAACTTTCTATTTTAGCAAGCAGTCACCTTGTTTAGCTTTCGCATGCAGATCCTCTCCTACCTTTGTCAGCGATCATTTCAGTAAAGTTTAGTTTTTGAAGGCTTTTTGGTGCTATTTTGGTCTGACTGGTTTGCCTGGTGCCATTCAGGCTCCTCCTGTTTTCTGTTTGCGCTGCCTGAGGGGAGCAGAAATGGTTTCCCTAGGCCTGTTGCCCAATGTCTCTTAGTTGGGCATGGAACTTGCAGGCCTGCAGTGACAAAGAGGCTTCCCTGCCTAGTCCCTTGTTTTGACAGAGCCCCCATCTGCCTGTGGAGATGAGTGGTCATCCTGGGATGAGCACTTATGGCAGGGTCTCTTTTTCTCCTGGCTGCCCACGTCTCTGAGTGGGGAACGGACTGGCTGCTCATTCTAACAATGAGCAATGGGGATTAGGGATGTCTTGATGGATTCCCCTTGATTATGTTGTCAGGCTCACCTCTTGCTGGAGGGACTCCTGTTTGATCTCGGAGAGGAATAAGCCTACCTGGGCTGCCTTCTCTTGTTAGGTTGGAGGTCAAGAAATACCCAACCTGGACTGACATCTTGTTGGGTGACAGGATATAAAACACCTTGCTTCTGTGTTGTTACTATAGCCCTGGGATCCCAAACCAGCTCTCCTTCATACCACCTTTCAGAGTTCTCCTTTGGTTGCCACTTGTATTATTTCCAGGCCTTATGGTTGTACTTAGTGGAAAGGAATAGTGAGAAATGAATCTACAGTCTTGTCTGAACTGGAAGTCCAATCAATAGGATTTTAGAGTATGAAATTCTCAAGATAGACAATATTTTCAGTCAGTCCTGTGTTCTAGTAGCCTACATACCAGCTTGGTGACTTTGAACAAGACTTGTTATTTCAGCCACATAAAATATATTTAAAGCTCCCAGCCCAAGACCTAGCACAGATGAACCACTCAATAGGTATTCAGCCTTTTCCTAGAAATCATCTAGTTCAAACCACCTGTCTTAAATACAATGTACCAGGGGCCTAGAGAAACAAGGTAGTCGTCTTTCAAATGTGCTGTGCCTTACATATACCCAAGTAGCATTTTTCCCCCAAAGGCCAGCACATACTCCATTAATACTCGATTTTGTTCCTTACTTCTATAGTTAGTTCTAGTTCAGTTGGACAGGATTTGAAGATTGAAATTAATAATACCAATTTATATTTGAAAAGTACTTCCAAATTTGCAAAATGTTTTGCAGCTACAATTTCCCTTGGCTGTCACAATCACAGCATCAGTCTGGCAGGGTAGAGATTATTCCTGTTTTGTAAATAAGGAAACACAACAGGTCGGGGGCTGACTTATCCAGAAGCGCTTTCTCATTTAGAGGCTTCCTTTGACACCCTCTCTTCTGTGAAACTAGGCCTTTTTTGAATGACAGGAGGTTGTGAACATAGTTGATTTCAGAGTGCCCAGCTTGCCACACCCTCACCCACAGCTAACACAGTGTATTACCTTGGGACTACAGAGTGAATAAATTCCGAGATCACACTTATGTTCTGTACAAAGTACCATAAAAATTTGGAACTCAAATTATCCTTAGAGTTTGATATGGTTTAGATCTGTGTTCTCGCTCAAATCTTATGTTCAATTGTAATCCCCAGTGTTGGAGGTGGGGATCCTTCATTAATGGTTTAGCATCATCCACTTACTGCTGTTCTCCTGAGAGTTCCTGTGAGATTTTTTTTTTTTTCTGAGATCTGGTTAACTGTGTGTAGCACCTCCATCTTCACTCTCCTGCCATGTGAGATGCCTCGCTCCCCCTTTGTCTTATGTTGTGATTTTAAGTTTTCCTGAGGCCTCCCCAGAAGCCAAGCAGATGCCAGCATCATGCTTCCTGTACAGCCTGTGGAACTGTGAGCGAATTAAACCTCTTTTCTTGATAAATTATCCAATCTCAGGTATTTCTTTATAGCAATGGATGAAAGGGTTGATACAGAGTTTGTTGGTTAAAAAAAAATCCTACCAGAATAGATGAAAATACACATCTGTATAGGTCACCTCAGGGAAAGCAGTTACCTCAAATCAGAAAGGAGGCTGTTGAATTCTAACCAAGGAAAGTACGGTATAGCTCAGAAACGCAACACTGAAATTTGACATAGAAGAAAGCTGTAGCATGGTTAACAATAGGAGACTGGTTGAATAAACTATAGTTCATATAGTGAGAAACTATGTGTCCATTAAAATAGCAAAATAAACCTATATTTGTTGAAATGATGTTCAAAATTAAATGAGACTGTTATATAGTTCTATTTTCTTCTCTGTGCATGTAGATTTCTCTCTGCATAGAGAAATTCCGACGTCTTCTTTTTTGGTTCTCTATATTTTAAAAACATTCTGTAATGAACAAAGATTATTGGCTAATTTAGCCTAATATATTACATTGTAATCTGATTGTATAAAGACAATATGTCAAGAGTAGGAAGGGGCTGAATGGAGTTGAAAAAGAAAGAATAAGAGTAAGAACTTGTCAGTGTAATCAGCAGCATCGAGGGTGAAAGTAGGAGGAGGCTGACTAATGCTTTTTGACTTTTTTATTATGTGCCAGGGACTTTACCAAGTAATACTTTACATGTTAGCTCTGTTAACTTGCACAATGACCCTGTGTGGTAGGTACAATTATCATTCCCATTTTATAGATGTGACCTCTGAGGCTGAGAGAGAGAAAATGACTTGCCCAAAGCCACCGGACTAGCAGAGCCAGGACTAGATCCCAGGTCTCTCTGTATTCCACTCACTGGAGGCCCTGATCATGTGGTGCCCAGAGAGGGAAGCTCTTTTGAGGCCTGGAGGAAATAACCCCCAAGTTCATGAGTGGGAATTCTTGCTGGGAGAGGAGGCGGCCAGGGCAGGAGAGAAGGCCCTGGAAGGGGAGGAAGAGCTTGGTCCCTGAACAGGTCTGTCCCCAATGTGAATAAACAAACTGGTATACTGTCAGCACTCTTTTATGAGTTAAGTTGGTGTCAGTCTTGCCCTCACAGCTGGTCAATGGCAGTGCTTTTAAGAACCAGGTGTCCTGATACCTTTCTTGTTTTATTTTAACATCAACAGAGAATATTTTAACCTATCTGCAGATTCTGTCTTTATAAGGTGGTTCATCTGTTGAGGCTAGGTCAGTGTACCATTTTTGGAGGTATGCTGTCTTTTCTTTTCTTTGTAGCTAATACACAACAACTTCACACATGCAAAAGACTGAAGGTTTTTAATTTTGGACAAAAAAACACTGTATCATCCAAACATTTACAAACTGTAACACAACTGCAGTAGAGGGCCAGTGAGCATCTGTGGCACTGGACAAAACAACTGGCAGTGAACATCTTCACTTGGTCATACATCCATGCCTCAGTGGTGTGGAACACTCACGATAACATATGATAGGGAATTAAAGTCAATCATTCACACTGTTGTACCTTGGCAAGTTCAGACTTGAGCTGCTGTGACAGTGTTAGTCTGCAAACCTGGAGCTAATAAAAAGGTTCTCAAAGAATCTATATAGTTCAATTCTGAATTATACATCAGTTGCATGTTCTTCATGCAGGTATGTGGGTGACATTAACATATTACAGATAACACTGGTCATATACTTAAATCTCACTTTTAAAGTTGCCTGATAATATATCCCAGAGAAAAGGCCAATTGCTTCACTTTGGTTTGTATCTCTGGCTTGGCATATCTCAAAGTTCTCATTAAACTTAGCTAGACAATATGAAAGTAAGAAGATTTGCAGTAATAGAGTTTCTAAATTCTTGGACAAATCCTCTTCATCTGAATGCCCAAATAATCTATGAGACCAGATGCTACTAAAGTTCCAGTAAACACACACACACACACACACACACACACACACACACACACACACACA